TATATTTATTATATTGATCCAACTTTTACAAACTTAATATTAAAAATACAATTAAAAAGTTTTAAGGTAAATGTCACTAAAGTAAACTTTTAAATTTTTTTTATTTGAATATTTCCAGTTAAACTGTGTATAGTTTTTTAGCCTATATAAATGTAATAAAATTTATAAAAGAATTAAAACAACTAAGTTTACAAGTACATAGTTTCGAAATAAAAAGTTTACAAGTACAATAAGTTTTAAAATAGTTTCTAAAAGTCTAAAATTTACTTATACAAAGTTAACAAAGTTGTTTAGTTATAGGTTATTTAAAATGAATAATTTGCTACTATTAGATACAAGATGTTGACACTAATAAAGATTACAAAAGGAAAAATGATAAATCAAAAAAAAAATATCTTTAAATCATACGTAGTTTATAATATATAATCATTTAGTTGAGCATTTTGTAAGTATAATAAGTATTTTGAAAAGGTATAACCTCACCATCGCTGCTAGGTTTTGATGCCACTAAAGTATACAAGATAAAGAAGAAAATAAGCAAATGACCCCTTCAAATTTATGAAATATATGCTTGTTGAAAAAATACATTTAAGTTTACCACTGGTACAAATTGTTATTGTAACTAAAGATTAAAAAATGAAAGAGAATATAAAAAATAACACCTTATTGTTCATTTATTCATTTTTGAAAAGATATTATATATAACATTAATATTGGTATAAAATGATGTCTTAAGCCACTTGATGCCACTAAGCGTACAAAATAAAAAGGATGGTATACATACTATTATGATTAGTCATTTATAAGTATTTTAAAAAGACTCAACAATTGCTGCTATTGCTATCAAATACCATTATGTATATAAAATAAATGCCATCAAATATTAAAAAATAAAATGGATAAAAAGCAAAAAGGTCATCTTCAAACTTTGTCATAGATAATCTTTTTGAAAAGATATGTTATATCACATTGTTATTGGTACCACATGCTGATACAGCTAAAAAACACGAAATAAAACAAAAACACAAAATAAAAAACAAAGTTTTTCTACTTTTTTTTTTTTACTTTCCTTTTTTTTTAATCTTCAAATTAAATTAAATAAAAAATAAATTTTTATTTAATTTTCAAATCATTAATAGTCATTAATAATAATTTTGAAAAATACAGGGGTGGGACCGCAAAATGTGAACACTTTTCTGATTGTAATAATTAATTTTCTGTTAAATATGAACTATTTTAAATAAGAATGTCCAATGGTTGGACATTCTTATTTAAAATAGTTCATATTTAACAACTCTTTAGACACTTTCTGATGAGTGAGAGAGTACAACTACATCTAACGAGAAAATAGTTATAATAAAACAAAAACGTTCACATTTTGCGGTCCCACCCCTGTATCATTTGTAACCTTATCATTAGAAATAACTGTTGTCACCATTCAAAGTAAAAAAGAGAAAAAGTAATCATTTGATTCATAAATTTATTTTGAAAAGATATAATACCACTGTTACCAGATGTCAATCCTGCTCAGGCAAATGACACCTTTAAATATTACAGAACACATCTTTATATTGAAAAGATACATATAAAATTATCACTGGTACCTAATGATGCCACTAAAGATATATTGAATAATTTAAATGATACCTTCACATATAAAATCTCATTTATAATGTTTTTGAAAACATTATCACAAAAAAATACAAAATAAAAAGTTACCACAAAAAAATACAAAATAAAAAGTATAATGTATAACAATTTATAATAAGATATAATAATATTATTTTAACTAAGTGTCGATGCCACTAAAGAATATAAAATAAAAAGGTGTAAATTTATCAATAAAGATTACAAAAAAGATCTTTTCATACTAAGTACATTTATCAAATTATCATAATGGTTATCATAATTATTTTGAAAAGGTGCAACCATACTACTAAAAGATGTCAATGCCAACCTTATCATTGCTACAAGATGTCAATGCCTTGAAAGACTACATAATAGAAAAGATAACAAGCAACCTTCAACATGCAAACAATATCTTGTTAACATGTAAGAACAAATCATAAAAAAGGGTATAATATAAAATCATTTGATTGGTTGTTTACAACTATTTTGAAAAGATATAAACTTACCATTAGTACTAGATGTTGATGTCTCTTTTTAAATAAAAAATAAAACAACCACGTCAAAATTCATAGAATATATACTTGTACTAAAAAGATACATATAACTTTACCACTGCTATGGTAAGCTTACCACTGGTAAGGTTAAGAAGTAAATGACACCTTAAAAGTTTATGAAATATTTATTACAATAAGTATAATCAAAAAATACTTTCTGAAAAAACAACTGAGCTTATTAATCGTGATTATTCTTTTATTAGTAATATTTTATTGTGTATAGGAAGGCAGCTGTTTCTTATATATATAAAAATCTAGAGAATTGAGCCTAAGAATGCATTAAAATTTGTTAGACATTTTCTATAGGTTTCTATTATTTCTTAACCAGTGTTTATTGATATAAGATAAATCAATATAAACTTGTACTATCAATACAAACAAGATGTACTATTAATGCCTACAAACAAAATGTACTACCAACGCATACAAACAAAATGTACTATCAACGCATACAAACAAAATGTACTACTAACACATACAAACAAAATGTACTACTAATGCATACAAACAAAATGTACTATCAATGCATACAAACAAATTGAAACTTGACATGGCTATTTTGCTACAATTTTTATAAACAACTTTTATAACCTTCATATTTTTTTACTGTAAATAAATAATATTTACTTAAATAATTATATTTATTTTTTAATATATTCAACACTTTACAGATTATTTCAGCATTTGGAACAGAAAGAACTTAAGAACAAAAAAATATAACAGATAAATGTAACAGATGAATATAACAAATAGATTTCACCATTTGAAAGGAATTGATTAAGCGTATACAAGTTATACGGCAAACAAAAAATAACGCTAATATAACAGATAGCATTTACTTTTTTCAAAATCATATATATATGTATATATTATATATATATGATTTTGAAAAAAGTATATATACATATATATTATATATATATATATATATATATATTATATATATATATATATATATATATATATATATATATATATATATATATATATATATATATATATATATATATATATATATATATATATATATATATATATATAAATAAATAAAAGGTTAGATGAGAAAAAACAACTTTTTTACGGTACTTAAAGTTTCATGCCGTTTTCGGCACTCATCAGCCATATATTTAAATCAAGAAAAAACCGTTCAAAAATACAATTAAAAAACCGTTACAAAATTCAAAAAAAACAATGGAATGAGTTCTGACGTCAAATAATTATAATACAAATAATAGCAAAAATAATAATGATTATAATAATAATAATATAATAATAACAATAATAAAAATAATAATAATAATAATAGCAATAATATTAACAATAATAATAATATTATGGAAAAAACATATTTTCTAATCGCCAGTGTCAAATTGAGAAAGGAGGAATCTGTTTCTATGTCTGCACTTAGAAACAATCTCACTCCTTTTATTTAGTAGATTGGTATTTTTATAATTTAGGATTTCATATTTTTCGGTGAGACATAATTTACAAGATTTGGATGTAGGATTATATGCTTTACATCGCCTGAGAATTTTCCACTTAACTATAGGAACTAAATTGGCTTCTTTTATTTTCCATACCTGCTTTGACAGCTCAGTATCATTTTTGTATTTTGGGATGTTAAAAGATTTAACGTGGTTAGCGTATCTCAATTTAAAAGAAGTCTCACTTACACCGATGTAGGATTTTTCGTTAGGAGATGAATCACTAGTGGTGGTTAAAGTTGCTTGGTATACAATGCTGCTTGTTAAACATCTATTGGACAATGGGCAGAAATTTTTATCTAAGCAATTACAGTTTTCTTGATTAGAGTTTGCATCGTTGTATAAAATGTACTTGTTGTGCGAATTTATGATCGATTTCACACTTGGCATACAACTGTAGCTAACTTTGACTGTGTTCCTGTTAAAGATTTTATGTAGTTTGTTATTATTAGGAAAATGTTTGCCAATTAATTTCAAAAAACATTTTCCTACGTTGGTGCTAACATTTTTGCTAAATGGAGGATTAAACCAAATGATGTTGCGTGCTCTGTTCCGTTTTTTAGTTGATATTGCTTTAGGATTATATGTTAGATTACATTTAAAACCAGACTTTAATAAAGCCTCATTATATAGAGGAACAGCCTGTTGAAATATTTCTTTGGTAGAAGAATTTGTAGATAATCTAAGTTCAACCGAGTGTGGTATTTGTTTTAGTATACTTGGAGGGTGATTTGAATCAGCATGGATATAATTTAATGTATTATCATGTTTGAGATAAGGTTTAAAGGTGCACTCACTAAGATTTAGAGTGACGTCGAGGTAGTTGACAATTTTCATGTTGCATTGTATAGAAATCCGTAAGCCATTGTATTTAAATATTTCGGAAAGATGCTTTTTTATTTTTTCCATTTGAGGGCCGCTTTTATTCCTAAAAACTGCTAACCCATCATCACGGTATAAACCAACCTCAAACTTGTTATGAAATTTTGAAATTTCGAAAAGAAGAAATATTCCTACAAGCTCACAAACCTCCGCGCCGTCAAAAGCTCCCATGGAAACATCAAATAAACCACTTGATTGCTTTATCCAAACCTGATTATTATTGAAAAGCAAAGACTTTCTTGCATGAAAAATTAACGATATATTCTCTTTATTTAGTGTTAAGTGTTGCTCTGCAAATTTGATAGAGTTTTTTAGAAGTGTTTCACTAATAGTAGGGTGGAAGTTAATGATATCAAAAATTAAAAATTTATAAAGGTGTTTGTCTTTTATGGCTTTAAACCAATCGATAACATTTCGAGTGTTTTTCCATTGGTTTAATTGTAATATACTTCTTAGGTCTGTATTAATTTTAGAAAGAATATCCTTGGTAATTCTTCCAACCTCATTTTTAGCAGGATTTAATAAACGGACAGTCAGATTGTTTTCAAAGTTATCTTTATGGTCTTTTAAGGTGATAAAACAATTGGAAGCTGTATTAATATCAATTTTATCGATTTTATCGAAAACTTCATGATTTTTCAAAAGACGTTTACCTTCTATGTTTACTTTATTTATTACATTTGAGTTAGATAATTTGTAATTTGAAGTGATGGCATTTCTTAACAAGTGGTTGTAATCATTTTTAGATAATTTGTAAAGATTAGATGTTTTATCAGCATACGTATAAGTTTGATTAGATTTTCGAATAATGTTTATATCTTGTTTTAGTTTATTTTGAAAATTGCTTTGTACCTTTCGAAACTTAATGTGTTTTACAAGATCAATGAGTTCGTTCTCAAAAGCTAGCATTTCTGTAATTTGTTTTGGATGATTAGATGTTTTTAATCCGTAGTTAATATATATATATATATATATATATATATATATATATATAAATATATATATATATATATATATATATATATATATATATATATATATATAATAGTAATATATATATATATATATATATATATATATATATATATATATATAGTATATATATATATATATATATATATATATATATATATATATATATATATATATATATATATATATATATACAGTAGCGTCCAAAAGTATATATACATATATTATTTATATATATATATATATATATATATATATATATATATACAGTAGCGTCCAAAAGTTTCCAAGTTAACAATTATGTTTTGAGCAAATAATGAATATTTAATTATCATTTTAAAATTGGTTAACATAATGGCAATTTTTGATAAGTTCAAAAGTTTGCGGACAAACTAACGCTTTTAACATTTTCACCACAAAATAGCTAATTTGTTGATTTTATAAACAAATACTTTGTGGAAATAATTTCAAAACTTTATATATAAGTAATTGAGATCATGGGATCTAAGAAATGTATTTCATCTCCAGTAAAAAAATTGATCTTGAGATCAGTTCAGAATGGAAAGTCGTTTCGTAAAACAGCACAGCTTTATGGAGTTGGTAAGTCTGCTGTTGGACAAATTATAAAGAGATTTGAGCTTACTAGATCTACAAAGAATAAAAATCAATCAGGAAGGCCACGCAAAACAACGCGTTATCAGTATAAAAAGTTTGTAATACTAAGCAAAGAAAATCACCTTTGACAGCTGTCAATTTAAATGTACAAATGAGATATTTCTATGGAATGAATTGTAGTATTTCTACTATAAAACGTCATTTACGTCACGCTAATTTGTTTGGAAGACGCCCAGCTAAAAAACCATTAGTTTCCTTGAAAAACTGTAACGCCCGAATGGAATTTGCATCAAAACATCTAAAGTGGAGTAGTCAAAAATGGTCAAAAATTCTTTTTAGTGACGAAAGCAAATTTATGCTGTTTGGATCCGATGGAATCAGGTATGTTCGACGTCCAGTAGGTACTAGGTACAATCCTAAACACCAACTGCCTACTGTAAAACATGGAGGAGGTAATATATATATATATATATATATATATATATATATATATATATATATATATATATATATATATATATATATATATATATATACAGGGGTGGGACCGCAAAATGTGAACACTTTTCTGATTGTAATAATTAATTTTCTGTTAAATATGAACTATTTTAAATAAGAATGTCCAATGGTTGGACATTCTTATTTAAAATAGTTCATATTTAACAACTCTTTAGACACTTTCTGATGAGTGAGAGAGTACAACTACATCTAACGAGAAAATAGTTATAACAAAACAAAAACGTTCACATTTTGCGGTCCCACCCCTGTATATATATATATATTATATATATTATATATATATTATATATATATATATATATATATATATATATATATATATATATATATATATATATATATATATATATATATATATATATATATATATATATATATATATATATATAAATTCATATTAAATTCAAGACTGCATTTAAAAACTTCAGAAGTTGAGAAAAATTTTCTAAAAACTGCACATAGTAATAATAAAATGTATTTTTTAGTGATTTCTGCAATTCTATAGTATGTCAATAATATTATTATATTAGTATGTAATTATTTTTGAGGTAAAATGTTAGCTCAAGATGAAAGTTGGCTACATAAACCTAAAGATGAAACAACAATTTTTGAGCAAGTTAACATTGAATTTAAACCTCCTGATTCTTCTACATTAGCAATAATGAGAGAGAAGGGTATTAAAAACATGAAGATGTTCTCAATATTGCAAGAATTGGTTTTTTACATTTTTTTTGCAGTCTTAGTGTTCTTCATTGGCTTTATGACACGGGAAAATTTTGCTTTTTATCAAACTCGCAATGTTGAAGAACTTTTTAATTTGCAATTAAGGTCTGGTGTATCGTATT